GATGGTCCAATGCGCGTTTGCCAGCAAGGCTTCAGGCCGTGAAGCTGCAAGCGCCAGCGCTGCCATGAGCCTGATCGCGTGAGCATCCATTGCGCCGACGCCACCGGGTCCTTTTGGCCCACTTAGAGTTTGCACTAGATGCTCAGATCGCAGAATGTGCCCTGAGGGGAGGGGAAGTCCGGTGCTCTTCCACAAAGGCCAACCACTCCTGCAGCAACGGTGCGAGCACCTGCCTGAAAGTCGCACCGGCCTGCAAGTAAAGGCCGGGTTCCATGTGATCGATCTCGCAACCTGCGATCCAGGATGAGCCAGGCCAGCATCAATACAACCGGTACCAGCTCCATCTTCTATATGCCACTCACGAGGAACGCCGAAGGCGACGTACAAGTACCGACGCTCAGGACAGCAGGTCCGTCCTGAGGCACGCAATGGCAGGCGATACGACCCGGACCGCCTCCGGGTCAGGACGACGCGGTTTCGTTCCAGGCACCAGCCGAAATCTCGAACGGACTGAGTGAGCACGGAAGGATGATCTCGGACAGCAACCCTCGCTCAAACACTCGTAGAGGAATTGAGCCAAGAGACTCAGAACCAGTGTTGCCACTGGAACCGGCGCATGGCCATCACGCTCTGCGACAATCTTGATGCAAGAGGCCGCGCCAGTGATGCAGCAGGATAGCATGTCCATTGACTTGGCGATGCAAAGCGCTGCTCTCGAACTGTAGCGAGGTCCTCGAAGATCTTCGAATCCCAGGATCCAGGACCTCTGGATTCTTGCGCAATGCTTGCCAGCGTAACGAGAGAAGAAGGGAGGCGACTGCCGCTTAGGTTTGATCATGTGTGTGTTGCCGCTACCTGGGCTTGGAAGCGACGCATGCTGTTGGCAGACGCACCTTTGTACATCAACGGCCAGGAGATGCTTCAGGCCATCTGCTCTGACGATTGGCGACAGCACATGGCAATGTCGAGCACGAGCAAACACTACGTGCCTTGCACGGGACCTGCCTCAGACTGGAGGAAAATCGCTTGCTAGCAGGCTGTACTCAGAACTCAGAACCAGCAATAACATCTCTTCGGCTCGAGGTGTCCGGCCGCCGTCCGAGTGCACAAAGACTATAAGACGGATGATGGCCCAGCCTTGTCTCTGGAAGAAACTGGCCAGTATTGGCCAGTGATTCTAGAATCCTTACGCCTTTAGTCATTAGTCAGGTACAGTACATCTTGACAAACCAATGTCAAAGCGGTTCTTGAAGTTTACATGGGTATCAGCATATCCCTCACGACGGACAACATAAAGATTTGCAAACACAGTCCAGCTACGTGCGCACAAGCCAGCTTCTCTTGTACGCTTCAAGTCTGGTAGAACCTCTTCCCACCAGTGGAGATGCAGCTCGTGACGCATCCTACAACTGAATCGGGCACGCTCCAAAAGGTTGGCGTGGTTTTGCGCGGAACCTTCTGGCTGCCGAGCAGCCCGACAAAATCAGTGGAAGGAAAACAAAACATGATGAGATATACTGGCCAAGCATCCGCCATCAAGCGATGTCGTAGGATCTTGCAAGCCACTACCGGGTTGATAGCAACGAGCCATGTATCCCGGTGCACCTTAGTTGATTTGACAGCCTCTGCCAGCTGTCAGTAGCCCAAGAAACCTCCAAGAAGTCACTAAGGTCATTGCGAAAGTGCTTGGAACAATTGTAAACGCATTCCAACACAGCGTGGTGGCACCTCTGGCATTCTCGCCGCCGAAAGATCCGGATAGCTCCGGATAGCCGGGGTTCTGCTGCAGGTTCTGAGACCCTATACGCGGTCTCAGAATCGGAAAATGCAGACCTTGCCGGCAAGATCGGCTCGAGCCCCAAATCGCTCATTGATGCAGCACGCGAACCCTGTGTAAATTCACTTCGCGGTCTCCCGCCGCTCTCTGCACTGTGTGAGACATCACCTTTGGGCCCTTTTGGTTTAGCCGGTGCTTCGAACGCCTAAATGCGCACCTTTCGGGGCTGTCCCTCCCTAACATAAGTAAAGATCCCCTACTAAGACTGTGAGAATCATGTTCTGGAGATGAGGTCAACAGTGCTGGGGAGCGTCTTTACCACAAAAGGGGAATGGGGCTTGCCCTCCTTGCCCTTCAGACAATGGGCATGTCACTAAGCCTCGCGATGTACGCAAGCCAACATGGAGCTGTCTCTTCCGGACGACCGTCTCAGGCAAGTAATGCAAAAACTAGCAGCAGATCCAGCTAGCGTACAGAACCGGAGTGGCAACACGAATGACAGCAAAGAACATGAAGAACCGGCATGGCATCAACAATGACAGCAAACATGGCGGTGCTGATGTTATGCGGAATAAGCAGTAGTATACGAGGCACATGGTGGGGAAAGCGAGGATAGTTATGAGGTTTGTTTTTGGAATGCTGGGAAGAGCCGGGATGAAACCACGAACAACCCGGAATTAAAGCCGAGTGAATAGCACTGCTAGTAAAGAAGCTTAGAACGGTAGTCATAACAAAGCTGACCACACATCTCAAAATTCAATCATGATGTCACCGTAGCAATACCGTATCAGACTTGCGCGTAACATGGTGAAAGTCACAATGGTAGCATTGTCAAGGATCACGACTTTTTCTTCGATGATGCAACAACGCATTCGACCACTCCCTTTCCGGCAAGCAGGCAGTACATTTCTACAGAAGAAGTCGCCAGCGAAGCTGCCTGCAGCACAAAGGCTACAATTTGTCATGCCTGTGCCATTTGTAAAGGATCCTCTGGGACATTACACGCGTAGAGCGACATGCCCTCCCAGGCACATCCTGCCCAAGTTGACACAATCGCCTTGTAAAAGCCTGGATCACATGAGTACAAGTGATGTCAGGGATGGCTTCGTCGCAAACCGTCCATCCACACCAAGTCCCTCTGAAATGAAAAGTCTGAGCTGGAAGGGCTAAAATCGGCGGCAATGACAGCTCCACCATCGGCGTGCATGTTCAGGAGCTCATGCGCCACGAGCCGATCGCCACTCTGATCCAAGGTCACCTCTCCAGAGACACCCGCGAAACGGGTCCGGCGCAGCTCTTCAAGGAGCAAGCGGCCCCTGGGCGCAGGCACTGCATGAAGGAGCTGTTGATGGCAATGGCAAATGCATAGAAAGCATCGAGAGCAAAGCCAAAGTATGCATTCAGCCCTGGAGCTCCTCTGTCAAGGTCCTCGAGTGCGGCGTTTGCCAGTGGTTCCCTCATGCTGTCCAGCTTGTACCGCTGCTTCAGAGCTGCTTCTCTGCCGTCCTCTGCTTGCAGCACAGACCATAGCCGCTCGAATTCCGTAAACAAGGCTCCTTTGCCACTCGCCCTGAACACCCCCAAATGATTGAATCAGCACAAGTGTCTGAACCTGCAATGTGCCCTCTGGGCCAAGCATTCCCTCCTCGTCAAGACCGGACAGGAAATCGTCGACCACAGCCCTCGGTGCCGGCATGATGTGTTTGGTGCCCAAAAGCACGAAGGATCTCGAGATGCAGCTTGCGGCGGGGCTGGATACAATGGACAGCTGTGACGACCAAACCGAACAGAAAGTGCAACGAGTCCTGGAAAAGGCTTCTCTGCGTGTTCTGAAAATGGGCCTTCTGAAGCGAGTGTTTAAATTCAAGCAAGCGCACAAACACAAATGTAAGCAACTGTGAGCAACTATAGGGTTTTCACATTGTGGGAGGCTCCTGTGGGAATCTTTGGGCTCTCGCAACTCGGACAAAGACGTGTTTCCGAAAGGAGTGCTCAATGTGTTGTCGGATGCCACGATTTGGGAGGCTGCGACTGCCCAAAATCAGCCAAGTCCAGGGATACTGGAAAAAGCAAAACCAAGCAAGAGCCCGCCAGCAATTTGCGGCCTTTGGCATCCGATTCTGAATCTGATTCTACATCGCGGAAACCTGTCAAGTCCCTAAAATGGCCGGGGGGGCTCCAGGTCAAGAAGAAACATCACGAAGCGTGAGCCGATCGTGCCGGGAAGTCACGGCATCGCCAGCTTCCTCTTTGTCAAATTCGTGCATGGCATGTAACGAAGGGCTTGGCTCTTGTTGACCGCTCCTTCGTGCAAGATCTGTGAGAGTATCATGGAGGCCTTGGCCATACCCCTCGACGGTGTACACGCAAGACATCAATGTGACATCGACGTGCAAAATCCAGTTCCAAAAGGCTCGTGCTTGGATGCTGTCCAGTGGTGCAGTTCGAAGGAAGAACGGGTATGCATCCTTGTTCAACAAAGCCGGGCTGGTGGCAGAGAAAGAATTCTGCGGGACTTGCTGCACAGCTGCCACAGTAGCAATGGGCATCGTGATGATGAGTAAGGGTCAACCAGCAATCCAACAACAGGTTGCTCTCCGTCCAGTCCCCACATCATGTCCAAAGCCAGCAGTCTTTCCACCACGAAAGGTGATGGCACACCGGCATGTTCACAATGCGTGGGCCAAACCGGGAAACGAACGATGCATCCCAACTTTTCCGATACTACAGGTCCAGGTCAGCATAGCGATCACGGCAAGCATCAGTCCCGCAACATGCGCAAGAACTCCTAGAGGCAATTCGGAGGTGCCGCTGAGCCGAGCTGAAGTCCAGAAGCAGCCACTGCGCGAGGAAAGCAAAACGAACCCTGCTCGCTACTACGTGTCTCCTGCGGAGGGGTGGGCAACGCTATGTCGTGCTTCATAATGACACAATGGGTGATGCAGTCGTACTGTCTGCGTATTTTCACCCCATCATCTCCTGCGGCTGGCACAGATCCTCCCAGGCCTTGTGGAACATGGCTTTTTTTAGATCATCACGCAGGCCGCAGCCTCAAGCAGCATCCCTGGCCGCAGGGCCATGCCAAGGAGAGCCCACCCACAGATTCGGGCGCCAACGTCGGCTCAGCGCCAGGCCAGTAGGACAGGTCCAGGTGCCACACACTTCTCTGTCTTGTCGTCCGCGCAAAGATATCGGTAGCCCTTGTTGGCGGCATCCCGATGCCGCGAACAAGGGTTACCGATATCTTTGCGCCATCCGACATTGAACACACCGATATGGCCAGAGATATCAGGACAATCGTCAAGTGGCCTTTTCGCGGTGCCCCTTGCACGGCGAGCACATATGCCTGCAGTACTGCGCTAGGCACACTTTCGGCAAGATTCGCCGGCACTTTCTCGCGCACCAGCTCTCTCGCCTCCTCCCCCTGCATGAAGCTGCTGTACGCCACTTTGAAAGGCTGCACTTGCAAGATGTAGAGCAGGAGCTCCCACGGGCCTGGAATTTCAACAATACTAGTCTCGCTGCTGCTACGTGTAAGCCTCCTGCGGGAGAGCATGCAACGTTATGGGAACACCCAAGGTCGGCGGAAAATTCGGCAACCAGAACGACTGATTCAGTAACCAGAACGGCTGATTCAGAAACCAGCTATGATTCAGAAACCAGCCGTGATTCA